GAAAGTGCTACAACTGATTTCTGGGTTCATACACAGCTTCTTTAGTGCATTCATGCCAAGTTGATCGCGATTGTGCGAAAATTCTGCAGAGTAGGTCTTTAATCTGGTATCCAGACTAAAAGGAAAAGTGTCAGATATGTGTAAGCTACTCAGGGCATCTAGAAAACACATATTAATGTCCTAGCTTGAAATTTCAGATCAGGCTCTCTGCCTTATACTATGTAGAATTTATTCCCTGCTACAAGGGTTTGGATTATTTTCCACTATAACACAAATTGCCACTCATCTCCATTCTCATTTTAAAATTCCTGTCTTTTTAAGAAATCTCTTGTGAAATTCAAGAGGTGCATCATATTCTTGCATCACATTCTGAGCAGTTAGGCTTTGCCTTGTGCTGAGCTTTTAGAAGACACTGCCAGCACTGCTCTGTCTCCCGACCATTTTACCCAGGGCATAGGCAGCTTACACGGTCTGAAGCAATTACTGTACTGAGTGATGTATCTTTCCCAGAAACTGAAAATAAAGGCATAAAAGAGATCCACACAATACTTTATGGGCGTTACCATATGGGTGTAGGTTTCTCTGGTGGTAATTATGTGACTGCGCTAATAACACCAAGGATGTTTTGGTACATTAAAACAAATTCTCACAGTGAGGATCCTGTGCATGTCATTCCTGTCAGGAGTCAGGAGAGTACATGATTCTATGATTCTGTGATTCTACATATTTAAACAGGAAGGAGGGATGAGAGAGGCCCATATGTCTTCACAAAAATAACCATCTCCCTTCACGCTGTGTGCAAGCTGAGGAAGCCCCGTTTGACACAAGTGTTTAGATTAGATGTGTTTGCTGGAAACTCCCCATTTGGAAAGCAGAAATCCACGCCAAGGGCTGATAGGGGAGCAGTGTGTGTGGTTTGCAGGGACAGCTGGCAGAATGGGCATCACCCACAGGGAAACAATCAAAACCTCCTGGGCTTTGCAGGGCTTCTGTACTTTTCCAAAGGGCAGCCCAGCACGCTTTGAAGAGCACTTTGCTGTGGTTCAGAAATACACCTGCAGACCTCCGTGACAAGCCCAAGCGCCAGGCTAAGTTAGTGTGCCTTGGAGAAGGGGAGGTTCCAGCTCAGCCAAATAAATTTCTCCCAAAGCTTCCCTTGGCTTGCTGGCAGACAGCTGGCGGAGAGCCCCGGGTGTCCTTGAGAAGTTCTCCAACACGTTGTTCAAAACTCCCATCATAAGGGCTCAGTATATTTTCAGTTGTGAAAACTTCAGAAGCAATCCCACCATAAAGGCTGCCCTGTGAAGTGAGCTCAGGCGGCAATGCCAGTGCTTGTTTTCCAGTAATGTAATTGCCCAGTTGGAATTAAACATCCCTCAGTTTAAGTTTTTACGCTTTCAAATTTTTTTTTACTTTTTCTTCTCGTGAGGCTAACATCTAATCCTTTGACCTCTTGCATTAAGTCTATATAAAATAATGTCCTTCCAATACAGCAAACCACTATCCTAATGAGCTGCACTTAGCTGTGTTACAGAAGCATCGTTAGAGATGCAGGGGTTTATAGACAAATCATCAGGGTTTTTTATTTGAGCAGTGACAGGGAGACAGAGTTCTGCCCTTGCTCTGGGATGGCAGTGGCTGTGCTGAGGGTGGGAGATGTCCTGGTGGGTGAGCAAGAGGCAAACATGTATTTGCGTTTCTGCCCCTTGCAAGCTTGTGGGGCATGCTGGGACTGAGCCTCAGCCTGTTGAAATGGTTACGAGGCGATTTATAGCAAACAAGAAGCCCTACTGTTGTGTTTGTTACAAACTTGGCTGCAGTACAATAATGTTTAGTGGATTAATAATGTCTGCTTTTGGCCTCTCCTACTCCCTCGGCAAACAATTTTCATGTATAATAAATGTTCTCGTTTAGTCTAACCAGAACAGAGCCCAAGGGTCAGAATAGCCATACCTGTATGCCGAGGAGAAGAGACTCTGGATTTCCAGAAGAGGGAGACCAGCATTCTTCCCTCTACATGCCAGGGTCCAAGACTTCTGCCCTTTTGCAGGACCAGCTTTGCTGGGCAGGTCCCCCTGAAATTGCAGAGGGAGGAGCATCAGATGTCCCTTTCCACAGGAGAAGGTCTGTCTGGTCAAAAGGGTCACAGGGGGCCGCCAAAGCAGCATAGGGTCACTGGGGCAGGCAGGTATTTGTTGAGCATTTGGCATTTTGAAAAAGAACAGCACATTTTAAAATTAAAAACTATGTATATATAAAAAAATATGCAAAACTAAATATTTCATGCAAACTATTGGTCGCAGCGCATGCTGTGAGGTCACATGAGGTTTAGTAAGTGGTGTGTGGTCTTGCCTTTGCATAGGAAGCCTGAGAGTTACAAACCCTTTATCAATCTGTAAGATTTATCTTGTTGATTATCAGCCTCTTTGGGGAAACAGTCTGCCCATGTTTCATAATGTGTGTAGCAGAAATACCAGGATATGCAAATGTGGAAGTTACACAACAAATGCAAAGCTGAATTTAAGCTGTTTACAGTCCAAAAATGAGAGAACCAGAACTGCAGCCTTTTTATTGCTACACCACTGAGCTGAGTGTGTGCACATCCCGGCTCTTTAGGTGCCCCTAATGCTGGATGGTACAACTGCTCCCCTCCATCTCCCCACTGCTGCTTCTGCCACATCAGTAGC